ATGCATTCGTGAAGGTCGTTAATGAAGAAACGGAACAATCATGTTGCATGGATATTTTCAGGTTAATTTACTAATAATTATGTCGATTAAAAATGCCAAAAATGTAAAATATTTTTATGGTGTTACATATAAAAGTATGCATAATACAGCAAAACCGTAACAACTGTTACAGATAACTAAATAAAAACTTAGTTGCATAAAGTGTAACTGCAAAAAGACTTGATAGAGCAAAACCGAATTACATAGAACTGTCAAATCTAATTCAATAGACAAAACATTGAAGTTTGCTCCCCCACCAGTTATATTTTAGATGATAATTAAAATAACTTTACCGTAATAATATAATATATATATTGATATAATATATATATATATATATATATATATATATATATATATATATATATATATATATATATATATATATATAATATATATATATATATATATATATATATATATACATAATATATACATATAATATTTACTATAATAATATAATATATATTATACATATAATATATATATAATGTATACATATAATATATACATATAATATTTACTATAATAATATAATATATATTATACATATAATATATATATATAATATATACATATGATATATACATATAATATTTACTATAATAATATAATATATATTATACATATAATATATATATAATATATACATATAACATTTACTATAATAATATAATATATATTATACATATAATATATATATATATATATACATATAATATATACATATAATATTTACTATAATAATATAATATAATAATATTTACTATAATATTAAAATTACATTTAATTTAGCGCAGAGCCGCCATAAAGGGCATGCACAGAGGATGGAATCCATTCCATTGGCGATAGTTTAGCATAGCAACCATCTCACCAACGTTTTCTGGCAAGCACACTTTTAATTATATATTTCAGGTGGAGGCAGTAATTAAAAGATGAAAATTAATTAAGAATTGCAAGAATCTATATATTCTTATTGTAGGAAAAAGGGCTCGTTGTATTTGAGAATAGCTGACATTATTCAGTGATGAAATATAATGTATGCTTTGAAACACCAAAGAGGTAAGTTGTGAAAGGAGGTTGGATTAACTAAATTACTAAGTTTAGTTTTTATCTTACATCTGAGTGTCCCCGTTGTTCCGAGGTTATCAACCATCTAATTACTAATTTCTCGCTGCCAAGCTTAGTAGAAACCGTCGTTTTTAGTCAGACCGAAGACAGACAGATAAATAGAATATGGACAAACTGAGATAGATAGATAGATAGATAGATAGATAGATAGATAGTGCTTCGATAAATTGCCATCTAAATTAGGCAAAAAAAATAAGATATCTCATTTTAGCAGATATATTTACCAAAATTTCACAAACATATCTTGAAATGCTAAAGAGTAAATTCATTCAATAAAATTGCCATTGGCGTCAACCATGGCCTTCGGAATCTCCTGCATCTCTTCTGGACGGTCTCCTTGTTTGTTGGTGAATTCTGCTATAATCCTTGCTTTCAGTTTATCTTTGGTGTTTCAAGGAGTTTTATTGGGTTCTCGCTGAACTGCACCCCCACACATAATAATCAAGGGGGGTTGCAGTCTGGGAAGTTAGGTGGCCAGATGTAAGGTGTGATGTAGTCGGAGAAATTGCCTAACAGCCATGACTGGTTTCTCCTATTTGTGTGACATGGTGCAGAGTCCTATTGACAGACATAGGGCCTTCCATCAGTCACTCACCTAGCCCAGAGCAGCACTATCTCCTCAAGGCACTTGATGTAGGCCTCTGTGTTGAGTCTGAGGCCGTCACCAACAAATTCGGGAGTTCTTTTCTTATCAGAACGATCAGAGTGAGTTTTCCGAGCTGCCGTATCTTTGGAATCACCATTAGACTCATCTAACGCTTTCCGAAACCTCTGCACTGTCCTCAGATTGATACCCAAACACTCTGAAAAGTTCGTATTGGAGCATCCGGTGCGAATGCCAAGCACTACAGCATGCCGTTTCCAAATTTTATGGTGCTCCATTTCGAACAGATGGTTCCCAACTGACCCTACTATACTGTGCTGTCGACAACATCAAAAACAAAAAACACGCATTTACGAAATTAAAATATAAAATGGCGACAATTTACCCATCGCAACCTGTAGAACAAATATAATTTGCGTCTTTCGTTTTTAGGTAATATTAAAAACGTTTATTTCTTACAGGTTAATGACAGTAAATTCAAACACAGCCTGATCCAACATTATTAATAGATAGATAGATAGATAGATAGATAGATAGATAGATAGATAGATAAGAACGAATATAATCTTTCGTTTTTAGTTAATATTAAAAACGCTTATCTCTTAAACATTAATGACAGTAAATTCAAATACAGTCTGATCCGACATTATTAATTTATAGAAAACATGTATCTGACAAACAAATACCTGCCACTGCTGAGCCACAATTTAAATTTGATACGTTTATTGACGGGAATATTTATCCTTGACTGTTGTTTATTATTTGTATTATACAGGGTATCCAAAAAATTTGACATCATTTAAATTGTGGATATCTTAGTAACTACACGTCCTAAGCGAACGAAATTAATATAAGCTTCATATTGAACAATAAAATATTTATTTATCAAAATTCAAACTAGATTTCAAATGGATGTAGATTTTATAACCGATTTGACAAAGCTTCACAAATATTCAATATGTACACCACACGTCAAGACGGTAGTCCAACTCCTGCCAAACACGTTGTAGCATGTCTCGCGTAACATTCTGTAGCCTCAGTGATTCTTTGTTTAAGTTCTTTTCTTGTGTGAAGAGGGTCGGATATAGATCTATAATTTCACATAGCCCCTTATAAAAATATCACAAGGTGTCAAATCAGGTGAACGTGGTACATTGTCGTTATCACTGGCACTCTCGATCTCTCTTCTTCGTAGATTCCCATTAAGAAAAGTCCGCACTGAAATAGTTGTATGTCCGATATAAGTAATTGATTTATGACTAGAAACACAATTGACAAACCACATATCTATACGTTGACGGCATTTTTGTCTTGGTAAGAGATAAGGAAGAAATTATATATCTGAAATCAACTTTTGTAAAAAAAAAGCTCAATGCTAAAATTTACATACGTACTCATGTTTAATAACAAAAATCTATTTCTCAACATTGATATGGAACTAAAAATCCATTGTACTTCCCAGCTTATAAATAAAAAGAAAAAAAAAACACCAGTACGAACTCTTGTCTTCTAATCTATGCTAGCTAATGCCCGGAAAGATATAAAATAATAGTGATAAAAAAAAAACTTCCTAAATAGAGTTCACCTGAATTCTTCTTTCCAAAGAATATTTTTGAGTGACCTAAGACACATAAAACAAACATTAATCAATATTAATTTTGTCCAATGACATCACTGATAAACAAATAAAATTATCGTTAAAAAATACAAGAGACCAGTAACAAAAAATACGACACAACAAAACATCAACATATGTTACTGCAACCAGATGCACAATAATAAGAAATACGAATTCGCTATATGGAAAAATAATCATTAAACGCCATATTTCTCCAGTAATTCCTAAAATACGTGTAACACTTAAAAGATATTACAGAAAATGGAAAACTGCAAACCTCGTAGTTAATAATAATAAAAAAAAAAACTTATCAAATATAAACTGGCGATGACCAATATAGTGAATCAATTCCACTGACCAGTACAGGGATTCTTTCTTGTCATAAATCAATTACTTATATCGGACGTACAACCAGCTTCTTGATTAGACGCCTCCCATGTCATTTGTCAGAGTAAAGCACTATAAGAAGACATTTATCAACCCATAATCTGCAAGATCCCTTAAGAAAGACGCTGGTCCAAAACACTAGAGTCCTTTGTAAATCAAATTTCCGGAAACATCTCGTTATATACGAAGCGCTGTACATAAAACAACTCTCCCCCACCATCAACCTTAACTTGTTTAAAAATGGTAACGGAGTGCTGAAAGTCTTTTAAAAAGTGAAAGCCTCTCACTCGAAATCCATCCATGTCCAACACACGACGGCTCGGAATAAAATACTTACTATAATTCACAAATAATACGCAAATACAGGGTGTCCATAAAGTTCGTGTGCACTTTAAAAATTTATAATTTTATTTGTATTTGTGATAGAAATAATCTGTAAAAAATGTTATAAAGTTTAATGTACCTAGTTTTAAGTATAGCTAAAATAACTAATGTGATTTCAGGCATTACTGTAAATCAGTTGGCAAATGTTTTCCGTGAACTGCAAAATCGTATTACCCTTTGTATTGCTAATGATGGAGAACATGTGGAAATTTAAATAAAATTTCAATAAAACCTTACAAAATATAGATTTCCTTCTTTCTAATCCTTTTTACAAATTATTTCTATCGCAAATACAAATAAAGTTAACGGACCGATCAGGCTTACCATAAAGACAGGAGTAAATAGTTATGTCATCATCATAGATGTAGGTTTTGGGAACTGATGACACCGGAAAAGTCATTTTTGAAAATTATAAATTCTCATATAATTTCATCGTGATTGTTTACGCTATTTCGGCTGAGCGGTTCGCTTTCTAACCATGAGACTCGGGATCGAATCACACCATAGTCGATTTGTCAGGAAATTGACCTTTTGATATTATTAGTCTAAAGGAGGAAATCCCAGCGTGCGACACCTTTGGAAAGTGTCTGAAAATCATGCCACGGGCTGACCGAAGCCTTGTGAGTGAAATTGGGTAGATGGGACCCTTGGAGACCGTCTATGACTGTGCTAGCACGAAGTCACAAGTCATCGTGATCGAGGGTTTTGAGCGTGCTGGTCTTCTTCAGATTGTTGATCATGCTAGATAATACGCTTCTCTCCCATAAATTGTAACTAAGGTGTACTCAGCATAGTTGCACTATAAAATGGGCTCTGTGGGTGTTGAACAAGCGCAAAATGCGCCTGAGCAAGAGTCTGCAATAAGGATTAGCTAGCCGCCCTAGAAGACGGGTTGGTGAGTATCCTTGAATAAGAGTGGCCAGCTATTGATAATAATTATTTTGGTTTACGAAATGTTTAATAGTAACGCTACGGAAATCGAATATCTATCTATCTCAGTTTATTGATTATCTATCACAGTTCTGCTATCTATCTATCTATCTATCTATCTATCTATCTATCTATCTCAGTTTATTAATTATCTATCACAATTCTATCAATATCTATTTCAGTTTATTAATTATCTATCTATCTATCTATCTATTTCAGTTTATTAATTATCTATCACAATTCTGCTATCTATCTATCTATCTATCTATCTATCTATCACAGTTTATTAATTATCTATCTATTTATCTATCTGTCATTCTTGGGCTATTAGGTGAATTACTTGTAAAACATAGATATGTATACGTTTATCGTAAGAACTATCTAAACCAAATTGTCTGAGTGACTGTTGAGTCTATCTATCTATCTATCTATCTATCTATCTCATTCTGTTCACATCTGTCTCTTTCTATCTATCTCTATCACGTTGCGTTCATATCTATCTATCTATCACAGTTTATTTATCTATCTATTCTATGATATGAATTTTTGTAATTTGGTCTTTTAACTTGAGTAATATTTGTGTGTATTTTTATCTTTTTTTGAAAATAAATAAACGTTTCTTTAATTAATTAATTAATTCCAGAGCTAATACCGAACGATGGAAAACAGCCGGCCGTGCCCCGCATAATATCCGACCAACTAAAGGTGCCGTCCACGTGATCGTACAAAGAGGATTTGTAGACTATATTCTTCATTCATCCGTTGCAAAAGATTTCCTTCGATGGGTGAAAAAAATTGACGTTCCTGACGAGACGTTTTTTTCGTCGCTAAATCACAATTCACATCTTAAAGTGCCTGGATCCTACCTCGGTAAGTTTTTCTGAAATTATAGTGTGACGTCTCTCAACACAGCCTTCTCCGCCCCTCGCTGCTTTCTTCGGGTGTCGCCGCTCCAAACGTGACGTCCGCCTGTTTGCGTCAGTCGTGTTGTCCCGTCCTGTGACGACCAACTGGCTTGGTATCGGTCGCGGCACCCAAATGTGACGTTCTAACCTTTTGGTGATTCGGATGGGAATCTGGTTAGATTCGATATCAGCCTCGTCGTTCCCAACACGCTTCCAACGTCTGGTTACCAAAGTAACTGCGCTGATCTCCAGTCCGCCTACCCAGGTTGTGAATTGATCTTTGGCAGACAAAATCAATCAGTAGTTGGGGCCGTAATGCAAGTTGAGTTCAAGCGAGGGTAGTATCGCACAAATATGTATAAAAGAAATAAAATGATAACTCAAAAGTTCAAGGTATCAAAAAAAAGGATAACAATACTTTATATCTAGTTGCTTGATACATAGGACTGCGTCTATCTCCCGACCCGTTATATGGATTGTGACACGTTGTTTTTTTGTTAGGCGAGTTTTAACACTTTAAGTTGTCTGTTCTTTAAGAAATTGGATCTTGGTGTGTCTTCAGGCGAAAGTCGAAAAACCTATTTTGGTGGTATGGATCTAAGTCGCTCTTCAAAATAAATTGTTCTTGGATTGAAGATGAGTTCGGAAGTTGCGCGAATCTTAGTCAGCTGCGAGGCCTGCTTCAACTGAACACTCTTCTCTGCTGAACTCTCCGGGAAACTCTGCCAAACTGATTTTTGCTCGCTGCGACTTTGCTTATATGGACGCCGACCAAAACCGGGGTGGGTTTGTCAGCGATGGAGGTTCCTCAATAATTCTAAATCCATATCCACTTCTTTTATTTTTGGTTAGGAATTTTCCACTCCTTTCCATTTTTGGAAGTCTTCTATTACTCCCACCTTCTCTTATTCTCAAATGGATATCTCACCACACCTCAGAGGGACGTCAATGGTTCTCCCCACTTCCTCGTAGCAACTTCTCATACCTATCCTCTAAATGGGCGGCGGCGGCTTCCCTCCCTGCGTCACGTGATCACCTCCGCCTGGCCCTCGTTATCATTCGGCCAATCGCGTCCAGCCGGGTGTGTGTGATCCAGCTGGCTTTGTTTTAGGAAGAAAAAAATATATCTTGCTCAAAAAAAAAAAATCTTTTTCTTTTCCTTTTCTTTCCTTAATCGCAGCTCTCATCTTCTCTGGCCGCCAACAGAACAATGCGACCAGTAGTGTGATAACCTCTATTCTCATCTGGACTTCGTCAGTCAGATTTTCGCCAATTATCAGAATGGGTGGTCGTCCAGCAAAACACAGTCGACCGTCGTCTCGAAAAAACAGTTCCAGAACAGTCATTCTTGGTGCCAATTTCTGATAACATAGTTTTGTTATGACAACCGAATTCTAATACCTATAGTTGTCTTGTCAAAAACGGCCAAGTCGTGAGTCAGGGTTGGCTTCGTGTGCGGTTAGCAGACGGCCTATTAAATCCTTTCCCGACAATATTGTTTGCCCCCTCTGACACAGTTAATTTTTCTTATCTATCCAAAGCCCTGTATTTCACCTTTTTTTGTCGATTATCAAAATAACATTGTCAATTGGAGTTCTTAGCTAGCCGGTCTGTGGTTTGCTAATTAGATGTTCGCCAGCATTAAGCGGCTGTTATCTATCCCCGATAACACAAGTTCGCCACCAGAACATAGTCGATTTTCTTATCCATTTAGAATTTTTCTGCGATGGTAATGAGACCTTTCACCATTTGCGACTTATCAAAATAACATTGTCAATATCCACGGTCGTGGGTGGCTTCTTTTATCATCTAAGCTTAAGTCTCGCCTCTCTTTTCCTTTCTTTCCTTTCTCTTTTTCTGTTCTTTTCTTTTCGTACTGGTAAATGGTGTCACAATAGTATGCTTATTTCTTTTGTCTATAATATAAAATATTTACAGTTGATACTGTCCAATTACTATATTTCTCGCCACAAACAACAAAACACGCTTTATTTTCTTCATTCATATTTCATTATGGAGTTATTAGGGGAATTGCCTGCCAAACTTGTCTTTTTATACGTTTGAGTACGTTCATCGCAAGAATGATCTAAACCCAACAGTCTGAGTTACTGTTAAATCTATCTATCTATTTCAGTTTATTATCTATCTATCTATCTATCTGAGGTTATTTAGAAATTCCTTTAAAACATGGATATTTATATGTTTCAGCAAGTTTATCGCAAACACTATCTAAACCCAGCAGTGTGGGTGACTGTTGAATCTATCTATCTATCTATCTATCTATCTATCTATTTCAGCTTATCTATCTATCTATCTATCTATCTATCTATCTATCTATCTACCAAAGTTTATCTATCTATCTATTTCAGCTTATCTATCTATCTATCGTACTAGGCTTTTTAGGGGAATTCCTTGTCAAACACGGATGTTTATACGTTCCAGTATGTCTATCGCAAGAACTGCATAAACTCAACAGTTACTCAGACTGTTCGGTTTAGTCATTCCTTGTGATAGACGTACTGACTCGTATAAACATCTGTGTTTGTCAAGCAATTCCTCTCATAGACCCAGAATGAAATATAAATGATGAAAATCATCAAATCATAATCTACCCGAAATTGCCCGTCTATTATACCAGAATAACACCCCGGTAATATACAAATTTATGATGAACATTATTAATACTAGTAACAATATTTATGCTTAAATCCCATGTCATTTAATTTATTATATCAATATTCATTAGAATTTAATTTATTTTTGTCAGTATTATGGCGAATAATCACACCTAGTCTGGCAAGAAGCCCGCTCCTAGGACACATAATGAGGAAAGAGGGCCTGGAGAATCTGATACGCACAGGTCGAATAGAGGGAAAGGGAAAACAACGCGTGACATACCTGGCGGACTTAAGCAAGGTGGATGACAGAGCGTAGTTTGCGGGAGGTGATAGAGCGCGGGAACTTGTTGAAAGCTGCAAAGGATTGGGGGAGGTGGAGAGCCATGATCGCCTCTGTCTTGAAAGGACATGGCACATATAAAGAAAAGAATGACTAGCCACGAGATGCATCTTCCGCATGCAGGCACACACACACACACACACACAGATACACACACACACTACCGTTAGCCCGTTAAATGTTTTTCTTACACTTTTGTGTTATATATATATATATATATATATATATATATATATATATATTCACTCTTTTGCTGATTATGTTATTAGTTAAAAAAAAAAAAAAAAAAAAACTACATAAACTATCTCAAACTGTTGGAATTTATGTCCTTGAATTTTTTTAAAATCATTTCACCCCAAGAAAGGCGATAATGTCACTAAGCCTCAAGGGGTTTCAGAAATAGAATGGTTAGATTTTAGTGTGGCGAAAGGACAATAAAAGAACAGTATTGAGGAAGTCGATAGATTACTATATATGTGGCTTTTAAATTTTGGAAGAAATTGGAAGATAGTTCCTCGGGTGAGATGAGCGTGAGAAGAAACGATTAGAATAGAACTTACGGTTGCATCTATTTCAACAGTAAAATGATGAGACATAATTGCCGGTATAGTAGTATGCCTAAATTCATGCGCCCGAGGTACCAAGGAGGAGTGCTCATTAGAACAACTGCCATGAAAATATTTAGAAAGAGAAGGAACCTACATCACGACGGTGCGAAAGTGACTGAAGTCGAGATGCCAGGTCAGGATCGACGACATTATAGACCGATTTGGGATTTTATCGAGAGTTTCGAGATATATAGCCTCAGGCCCGGACCAGATATGTTAGTAACATCCACTTATCGAATGCTAGATTTATAAAAGTGACAAATGGATTCTGATGAGAAGGAATAAGCAGACATATCAACTGTTTCACTATATGAGAGACTGTTGTATCCTTAAAAAGGTTACAAACAGACAAAGATGGTACTCGAGTGGAAGGAACAGCAACACGGGCGTAGATGGAAGAAAAAGAGGTTTATTGTAAAAGAGAATACACTACTGAAAGACAGGGAGTCGACTAACACTTTCCGAAGCCAGTCAGACTGATAGACAGAGAGACGGACTCTGGTATGTCCTGTGCACACTACATATAGTCAGTCCACAATAGGTAATAGGGAGAGTGGAACATTCCATTACAACAGAGACCAAGAAGGCACAATGAATTATTCTCCTAAATGTTGGCATCAGCTATGGAGGGCAAAAAAGGTTATCTATAATAAAGTATGGTAGTTTTGTTTCGGAAGCCTTAAGATTTACAAGCAGTGAAAAACTACTTTTTTGCGAGAGGGGGACATTTTTTTACGCAGCCGTTGAAGTTGCACGTAGCTTGTAGAGTTGTTGACAGACAAACAGTAAGTGACGAAATATTACAGTAGACCGTATATGACAAAATATCCACGACTGCATGTCCTGTCCCTCTTCGCCACTGTAGAGGATCAGTTTGTAGCGGATGTATGGGCTTGTATGGAACGAGGTTGAGAATTTACGAAGAAAGTGAATTCAACAAGAGTAAATCCGATTGGTCCGACAAAGTAAAACAGGCAGCTGCCCTCGAAAATCAGTTGTTAACTAGGGTAAAAAAAAAGTGGCTTGCAAATTTTTACGACTCTAAAACAAAACTGCTATCAAGATATAAAACTTTTTTTGCTTCTCATCAGCATGGCTGATGCTAACCTCCAAAACAGTAACTCGTTGCGCCTTCTTGGTCTCTCGTTTTCCACCAACATGAAATGGAGTGATTATATTGAAGCAATTGATAATTTCACTGCTAAACAATTTTCTCGTTAGAATCCATCTTACACATTTATAAATCATCCATGCAGTGAATACTGCTGCGATATCTGGTTTGATGCTACTGCTATATATCTTGAGATTCTTGATGACAGTCATTTTCCCATCGCTGTGGCGTGCCTTCCCTCTGATTTTTCAATACATATTATATGGCTGTGGTTCTATTGAGCTCTCCTCCTTGATCGAGCACTTGAATTTAAGTGTGCTACCAGAATGGCAGCTAGAACTTATCATTTAACTGCTGAAATACATATAAAAGTAAGTTTTATTCTAATAGTTTCCTTTCTCGCACTTCTCGCATGAGGAACTCTCTTCCGATTTCTACTTTCCCTTTCACCTACCGTCCTGGGTATGACGATAAACTAAATCCGCGTCCTGGGTAAGACGATAAACTACGTTCGACAGCAAGGCCTATGATCGGGAGGTTTTGAGGGGCGTGGAACCACCTCTTAATTGCTGGTGTTTCCATATCAACCCTGACGCGGGGTAGTAGCACCTGTTAGGGTCCCAGCTATGGGCAAATAGTTAACCCCCAAACTGAGGTCAAAACACTATGAAAATGTAAAAATAGTTTTTTTTAATACCAACAAAACATTTTTGTAAAAAAATATTACCAGTAGTGAATTTTCGAAGAAAAAATTATTGCCTGCAATACATTATTACCAGCAATATATTTTTGAAAAAAATATTACCAGCAATAAAAAAAATTAGTCGGCATTAAATAACCCATCGAGGTTGATATGCCACAAAACAAAATAAACCAAACATTTCACCTACAATCTTCAAAAATTTTAAATGCTTCGTAAATGTCAATGTTTTGTCTTCCATAACCTGTTCTTTTATTTTCCTTTCTCCGTACTAAAGTTTTATTCTCTTTCCCTCCCACTAACCTCTTCTTAGTGGCATTATCACCATCTTCTATAATCCTGAAACCTGTTCTTTTATTATCGTTTCTCCTCGCTAAAGTCTTCTCATTCTCTTTTACTCCAAGTAACTCCTTGCATCTTAGTGGCATTATCGCCATTTTCTGTTTTCCTGAAATCTGTTCTTTTATTGTCCTTTCTCCTCACTAACGTCTTCTCAGTCTCTTTCACACCCAGTATACCCTTGTGTCTTAGTGGCGTTATCGCCATTTTCTGTCTTCCTGAAACCTGTTCTTTTAATGTCACTTCTTCACACTAAAGTCCTCTCATTCTCTTTCAGTAACCCATTGCATCCTAATAGCATTATCGCATTGCTTCGGGTGGAATATCATTAAAAAATCATCATTATCATCATTATTTGTTCCATGATCGAGTGTGGTTGTACAATACATGACCCTACATTTCAGCTGCGTTCTAATGTTTGGATCTCTGTGAATCATTTTCCGGTCCTCTCAGTAACATTGTTACCCCCATTCAACCCCCTCCTCCGTCCGCTTCTTCTTTTGCCTATTAGGTACCTTGTAGGAAAATAAGTGGAAAGATTATTGCCACTTAAGGCATATCAATTTCTCCTTCTTGAAAATGGTTATAAGGTCTTTCAACGGATCCGTTTCTTGTCTGAGGGTGTCTCGCCCTGCGTCATGGATGATGCGCCCACCATAGAAGATGCTGATGATGGTTCTGTAGCATCTAAATTTTAATGTTTGGATTTTTCACTCTAGTTCTGCTGTCCATTTATTATAATCGTCTTCCGGTTGACAGAACTGTAGTGTTCGACCGAATAGCTGAGATGATTGATAATATATCATCTCTACGTATCCTTTAGCTAGTTTTCATAGTTGTAGTGACTTCGCTATTCACCACAAAAGAATGCTTAGTCCACTCGAACGAAACCAATGAAAACGCCAGATACTGCCGAAAAATCTCTGTCGACTACGAACTGACATAGATTATTGAAAGCCCAACCGTGCTCATGATGCAAAAGGCAAATCTCCTTGACCGCTCGCTCACATCCTGGTTTAAGAAATACTTCGCTGGAGTGTAAATTACCAACTGGACATTTCCTAGTCAGTGTCAAAATCGGTGCCAAATCAAAAGTTTCCAGTGATGTAGCTGTTCTATAGAACGATTTTTGGATACATGAAACCGATCTTACATAGTACCAGCTCTATTCAGCTTTCTTCAAGCATGTTGCCGCCCTCATATCAGAACGGATCTTCTCTGGAATAAAGATTTTGAAATAGGAGAAAGTCTTCCAACAAAAATAGAACAGCGAGCGTTTGTCCACTCCTGAATGTTCTGTAGCTATAGCTTACCGTAACCCCTATTACAAAATGTCACACAGGGAATGGTACAGTAGGTTACTTAATGAATGGTATAGTAGGATACGTACCGAATGGTATAGTATGGTACTTATTGAATTCAGAACTTCAGGCCAAATCCAGGCCAAAGTCGAAAGCAAACAACTTGGATCCCGGGAGTTCTGGAAAAACTTCAATGAAATTCTCAGGACAGGCAAAGCGGCAGTGCCTACTATCATAAATGGGCCTGTCATCTCATCCCTCGTTGGATAAAAAAAAACTCTTCACTATAATCTTTGCCTCTCACTGCACATGAGATAACAATGCCCACCTACTTCTAGACTTTGCCCGACTCACAGAGCACAATCTCAGTAATATTT